GGAAAATCGACGAAAAACGACCATTTTTCGTGGACATTGGTGGCAGCATCGGCAACGGCACCGACCGATTTTTTTTGTTTATCGACCTGCATTAGTCGCAATAGCAAACAGCAATAATGAAATGATTAGTGTTCCTTGATGGATGTGAACCAATTGCAGAGAAGACAGTGGTGTGGCTTGGCCCAAAGAGGGCAGACACTGCAGTGGGCTCTGATGACTGGATTATGCTGGAGATGTGTTTGCTAATATGCCAGGTGAACTAGGCCTCAACTTATGTAACTTGTGAACAATGTCAGTTACTAGATAGAGAATGGCTGATGCAAGAAAATTTCAGTGACAGCTTAGTTGGAAGATTGGGACTCTCTCACCTAATCTGTGGCATCATCCCAGTTGCTGGTGGTTTCACTGTAGATGGGGGGTCCCCAGAGGTTCTGCGGTTTCCTCCTGTAGAGTTCATTCTTGATTGCAGCACTCAGGGTCACTGGCCGACATGGTAGTTCTCCAGCGGTTGGCATTTTCTCCCTTTTCCTCCACTCTCTCTCTCTGCAGCCTGGTCTGGTCCTCCAGTGTTCCACATAGTTTTCTCCTCACACCTTCATTTCAGCTCTCTCCCAGCTCACGTACTGCCTTTGTTCCTGACCTTCTACATTTATTTGTCTCTTCCCACACACCAACTCTTCTGGGAACAGTAGTCCCCCAAATAACAGTCTTCTAACAAAGTCCTGCAGTTCAGCCTACAAAATTCACAAAGCTTTTCACCAGGATGTGTGCCACTGAGTTGCAGAATACTGCCACCTTGTCTCTCTTTTAACATCTTGCAGTTTGAATAACAGCAGGGTATTACGTCTACAATATTAAATACAACATAAACCCACATATTATACTGAGTCCTTTACTAGAAATAAAACACTGTAGCATGTAGTAAATCTGCTGTCACAGTTAAGATTAATTAAATGTCTATAGTGACTGACAGTGAGATGTGTCAGCCAAGTGCATATCCATAAACTGTTGCTTTAAAAAATTGAATCCTTCCTGTTCACCGGAAATTTTTATTAACTTGTGAGCATTTTCAAATATTACCATGACAGAAACAAACAAAAACAGAGCTTTAAACATTTGTAAAGTATTGTTTAACTTTAATTACATATCATAGATCTGTTGGTTTCATTCCCATGACCATGAACAATGAAATGGGTTTGCACATAAATAGGTGTTTCAAAGGTGACATTTACATTGGGCATTGTATAGATAAAATAGCAACTGCAAACATAGGAAGATGATCTGTGTGATTCTAAAGGCACAAGCAGGGTATATTTAATCTAAATTGTGGTGGAAAGTTGTGATCATTTGAAAAGAAATCAGACAAAGCTTTTTTGATAAGGGAAAATGTTTGTTTGATAAACTATATGTGTATCAAAAATGAAAGGACCAGCCTAAACCTAAAGTTAAGTTATAGATAGAGCCTGTCAGCTGTGGCAGTCCCTGGCTTATTATGTTTTGGATTCTTCAACAACAAGATTCAGCTGCCATAATAAATTACTCTGAGTGTAGTCCCTGAGAGGGCTGCTGAGAATATGCCCAAATTCTCCCAAATAGTAGAGACTACAAGTCACACAAGCACATTCCCACACACACCAACAATTAAAGGTCAATCTTGGGGGTGTCTTTTTATTATTTATTGCTGAAGAACTTCAAAAGGAGGGGGTTTAGGGTCACAGGATACTAACAATGATCAGTAACAACAGTAGGACTAACTTCTGTCTCTAATCTTCCAAAGCAGGTTTTTTGGAGGTAGCAGGGAATGGCCAGTACACATCAGACCCTACAACAGCAGTCCACAAAACAACCTCTGGCACTTAGTTCCCTTCTGGCCCTTGCCCAGCTAATAGTCCCTGGCAAGATCTTTTTATCGCATTGTCTCAAGAGCTGTCTGCCACCCAGCATCTACAGGTAGATTCTTAGTGAGGAAGATAACAAGCGACTTCAGTGCAGTGCCCTCCAGCAAATGTAATCCTCAGGCAATCTTGCCCAGGCCCTCAGCCCAGCAACTTCCGAGGCCTAGACTTCAGCTTCTTGTCTCTTTGACTTTCTCCCAGGGGCAACAGCCCCCCTTTCCCCCCTTCATCCAGGAGAAATGAAGGCCTCCCTTGAGGGAAAAGAACAATCTACTCAGGCCTCCTGCACATCTCTTTTCAGATATTGGCTGGGACATAATAAATATACAACTGATTATCTGAATATCCATACAATATGCTCTGGAGACATCTTTCAGAGGCAGGTGCAAGTGGGAGCAATGAAACTCTCAGCTCAGGAAACATTGAACAGACCAGCACAATCAATCACTGCTCCACTCACTACAATAGAGCCAAAAACTAAATCTATCTAGCAGCCTATTTAGACGAGGGTGCTTCATGAGTTTGGGGTGTTCTCTCTCACCTTTGCATGCACTCTCCATAATATTAAAATACAAAACAATCCAGCAGGTTTCTATTGGGAGATGCTTATGCCAAAGCAGATGTGCAGATCCAGGAGAGATGGAAGAAGCTATTTAAATTCTCCAGCATTTACAAAAAAACTGAAATATTAGATTTTGCTAAATTATGTACTCTACCAATTTTGATTAAATGTCTCCATCTTGGATCTTTTGTTTTTCATGGTTCTCATACTATACAGTATATAGAGGTACCCTTTTAAACAATTCACTGTAGTAGCCTTGTATAAATAATGCTGAGAAGTAAAATGTTTCACATTACAAGTCCCTCCTAGTTACAGAGCAATCCTAATACTAAAATCAATCCTATTCATGTTGTTTTGTTAAAAGGAAGGGCCGAGGTCTGATGTTTTCTCTTTTATGCGCTGTGTGATAGGTTTTGTAATGTCATTAGGAGAAAAGAGTCGCACTGGAACTGAGTATTAACGTTAAGAACACTGCGTCTAGGGTAGAGATATGGAAAGGAGAGATTTGATTATGGATTATCAAATTGCTGTTTAGAATCCATCTGCACCGAACAGCACAAAATATAAAAGCATTATCTTCTCTTATGTTGATTGTTAAAGCCAGCTCTTAATGTGGGCTTACACAAACTCTTCCATGATAATGGTATCTATTAAAAGAGCCATTGACTTTGTGTTTATGTTTGTTGTATTAAGCAGTCAATACATGTTAACCCATTTGGGATCAGATGACGTAAAATGTCCTGTATCTTCCTGAGACAGAGCCAAAATCTATTATGATAACTGTGTACAACACGCTTGCGCATTACTGATGGTGAAAGAATATTTCTACAATGATTTTTTGGTTTCAAAGTATACATGCCTTTTAGTGACAAAGACATTATAGTTGCTACTGTATTCTGGTAATGTTAAATAATGACCTGAAAAGTAGAATTTATTAAACAGATAAGCAAAATAAAACATCTGTAGCTACATTTCTATTAAATGCATGTCCACAGAGGTGAGGCCTAAATCCATAATGGATAACCTTTAAAATAGAACTGGGATGGGATTAAAAAAAGTAAAGCAGAAATACATAGCTTTCTTTATTTAGATGAATTTTCTTTACATTTGCACACTCTAGCTTAAATCAATGCATCTGAAGCTTGCTTACCTCACTGCAGTTTCCTTATTAAAGGATAAGTTCAAATTTGGAAGAAAATAGCTTATACAGTTAAAGAGGTAATACAAACCTGTGCAGCTTTCAAAAATGTTGAGTAATGTAAATACAATACCTGTAGGCCATTTGCTTCCCTCCAGCAGCATTGAAAAAACTCCCATAGCTATCTGTGCCCCAGCCTGTCCTGTTGCTAGGACACTGTAACTATTGGAAGTACACCCCCAGCATCCCTGCTCTCTACCGCCATAGCATCACTGAGCGTTAGGATTTAGACTTAACTTAGGAAAGACTAGTTGTCTTTTAAACTGATCATCTTTAACCAGTCCTGTTGGTAGGAAATTTACTGTCCAGTTTAATTTATGTGCAAAGTCTAAAAATCAATATCGTTTTTTGTTTCAAGCAGAAATCAAAGAACTAAAACGATAGCCAGGAGGCTAAGAAGGACCAGTCAGCGAGCTTTTATATAAGCCAGTCTCTCACTATAAAAGGTGGTGGGGCTTCAGGCCAGCCCCATGTCACTGTAATATAAGGCTGCTGTAGGAGGGGATAGGAAAAACTGCATATGGAGAGATAACAGGCAGTTAGGAAACCAAACTTTATATATATTTTTTTTAATTTAATAAGTTTGCTTTAAATTTTTTTGTTGAACTCACATTTTAATTTTGTTTACTTTTGAGTTGATTTTGGTTACTTTCAGCTGCACTCTTTTTTTTCAGGGTTTCTATTTTAGGAAGGTGGTATTTTGTTTTTCCTTTTTTTTTTCTTTTAGGGGTATATTTCTTTCTACATTCTTTTATTAAGCATTTTTGATATACACAGATATACTAATAGTACAACATACAACAAAAGTTACATCTGCAGCATTATACAAGAGATATACATATACAAACAGTAATGGAATGAGGTGGAGGGGCTAGAGAAATTCTCTAGTGCATACAGGACTATGGAAATGGTCGTATGGGGATTTCAAAGATTTTCTGTTTTCTGTAGACAATATACTTTGAGGTTCTAAGTGGAAGCCAGGGAGGAGAAATGCAAACTATACATGAGTGTGGTTCATTGAGGTATTGCTTGTTGCATAGGTAGAAAAATATCCTGGATAATCCCCAAGCCAGATAACATGAAGGGAGACTCCAGGAGTTGGAAGAACAGTAGAGGAAATGTGTATCTAAGAGGTAGACAATGGTCAAGGATTTGGGTGGGGGGAATGTCAGAGAATGAGCGGTAAGTCAGGGAAGAGGCATAGGGAGTGGGGGTAATAGATGTGGAAAAGGTGAGTGAGTTTTAATTGGTCAGCCAACCCTGAGGTTACCAGCTCCCCCTGGAAAAGAAGGGTCCACCACCTGCTGTGGACAGGTGCTACAGGGTTGGACAAGTAGGACACTATCAGGGGCGGACTGACAACTCATGGGGCCCCCGGGCAATAGGGGATCATAGGGCCCCTGTGTCCTTGCCCAAACTCAAAAAAGCCTATGAAAAAGGTACCGGGGGCATCTCATGGGGCCCCCTACTGACCCAGGCCCTCGGACAGTGCCAGAGTTTCCAAATGGTCAGTCCGCCCCTGGACACTATATCAGGTAACATGGAATTGAAATCAGGGTTGAACAGTGCACAGAGTGGCATGGGTGTCTGTTGGAGATCCCGGCCAGCAGACACTGTAACATGTGCACGACTGAAAACTGTGCAGCAGGCAAGCTGGCAGCTGGCAGATACAGGATCTCAGGTGCAAGCTTAGGCAGGCAGAAGCTGGAAACAAACAGGTGGCAGAGGTAAAGAATCAGGAACCAGAAGCAAAGTCAAAGCCAAGCCAAGATTGATAATGGACAGGCAAAGAATGTACTGGAGCAGCAGGCAGAAGGTAAGGTTGGGTCAAACAAACAGGGTCAGAACACAGAAGCAATCACAGGATCAGGTCAGAGGTAGAATGTGCTGACAACCACTCAGCAATGTTCCTGATTCTTGCAGAGCTTTATACGGGCTACTGGATGCAAAAGTCTGTTTGCATGCTTAGATTCTTAATATTTTAACTATTTCCTGCCCATAGGATGTCATCTGGCGTTGTTTGGTTGAAGCGGTTATACTGGAATGATTCCTACAGCTTTAGTAGCCAATTCTCTGATTTGCAAAAGTGATTGGAGTGGCTATACAGCCACTCCATCACTTCTATAGGTGGCAGAAGTGGTCCCCCTGCCACTGTCGCTTTTTTTATCGGGAGATCCCAGTAGGGATGTGACCAGTTTTGTCACATTCCCAAGGAAGAGAAACAGGAACGGAAGTTCCTGCCCCTTTTATGTTATGTCAGATACTGGAAGTAATGAGTATTTCATCACTTCCCTTTTTGGTTTACTATTACCAGCTTGTGAAAGAATTTGATCAAATCAATCTTGGTTTTATCAGATGCTATGGAGGCCAAAGGTGAGGTATGGGGTCTAATAGTCCCCAGATATCTCCAAAAGAGGACCTGTCATGGCCCATGCTGTCACTAGGGATGTTGTTTATGCCTTCTGATAGCAATAAAGTTGATTTAAAAAAATAAATAAATGTACAGTGTTAAAAGGTGCTGTGCAATTACCATGGCAATGCCCACCATTTTATTCTCTAGGGCCTCTGCTTTAAAAAAAATTATCGTTTGTGGGTTCTAAGTTATTTTCTAGGCTACAGCTCTTTCTGTAAAATAGTAGGCGTATTATGCATCCCATACTTGTTCATGGGGGGGGGGGGCGTAGTATCTAGGGGTCTCCTTGTTATTAAATTATATTATATTCCAATAAGCCCCATGCAAAAAACCCCCACAACCACTGAATAAGGGTTGTGGGAAAGAGGCCTTTGCCCTCATCAACATAAGGACAAGGTGCTTTGCCAGGGGAGCATGTAGGATAGTATAGTTCGGGGGCACACACATTCTTCTCCCATCAGTGCTACTGCAGTAATTTCTGTACATCACAGAGATTCACCCCTTCACAGGCAGGATTAGGACACCCTCTAAGCATATTATTAAAATGAATTGGACATTCTTAATGGTTCACTTTAAGCATATATAAATAACTGCTTCTGGCCTAATAGACTTTTTAAAATTCTTTGCATTGGTACATATTCCCCAGGGAAGTGTCCTGCCCCTGACACACTATACCATTTTTTTTTTTATAACCCCTTGCCTACTATCCCAGAAAATGGCCATTTTTAATTTGACAGATTCAGTTTCCAGTGGGGTTTGAAATCAACATCCGAGGTTGGCTGGAGGTTGGTTAGCAAACATATATGAGTAAACAGTTGAAACAAGTTGTCTCTGGGATGACCCTGAGAGGCAAATACTTTTGAATGGTGTAAGCACGTGCTGTTATAAGTATCTAGTTAGAGGTTGGTGTCGGATTTGTAGGTCAGAAGACATGAAGGATGGTCTGATTGGGACCAGTGTACCAAATTTATTGAGAGAGATAAAGACTTGCAAGCAGTGGGGAAGCTGTGTAAGATGGCTCTGATAAGCCGTTAGGTCCTTAGGGATTGTCTGTGAGTTGAGCCATGAAATTCTGTCTAGTGGGTGTTGTGTGAATGTAATGAGTGCAAGTTCCAGTCCACCGTTCTTATAAGCTACCATGCCCAAAAGCAGCATTTCATGTCTGTGAGCCCAATGCCACTCATGTGTTTCTGCAGTGTCATGTGTGAAAAAATAATTCTTGGGCTTACATTTTTTTTCATATAAAAAGAGGGCAACGTCTTTGGAATTATTTGCAAAACATACAAGAGTCATGGAAAAACATTCATCTTTAGTATTGCAGCTCTTCCAAACTATGGAAAACAAGGTATGTCCCAATTTTAAAGGTCCTGTTGGAAATCTTTGAGAAATGGCTGGTAGTTGTAGGAGTATAATTCCAAGAGGTTGATTGGTAGTTGTATCCCAAAGTATATGACCACATAGTTCTTCCATGCTTCCAAATAAATAGAACAAGGCAGGAAAACATGGAGCTTTAAGCACCTGTTGCAAACACTATCACAACCATGACACTAAGGGCTTGGCAGACTTAAAACAGGTTTGGTATCCACCCAGAGGCTGTGTCTACATCAATCACCTTGCAGATAAAAAGATAGACAGGGGGAGTGCAGCTTAGACAAAACAAGAATGCTGGAATAAGACCAGCAGCTGCCATGAAACAGGATCAGTATATGCTCCTGACACTCTCCTGAATCTTCAAGGAGTCGGAATTTGCATTAAAATTTTGTAATGTAAGACTGTGAGGTCTGGGGATTTTCCCTGTTTCATCTGTTTCAAAGTGAGGGCACTTTCCTCTGACAGCATAGGTTGTTCTAAGTCCTGACCATTTGTATTGCCTGATTTATCATGAATGAAGTGGGCAGCATGCTAGCACATTCGGCCTGCAGTGATCTCATTAGGAGTTTATCACCTTTATTACTGTGTTTGTAGAATAGCTTCTAGCTAAGTAAATAATGTCATCTAGTGTTCTTGACTATTTCTTCTATAAGGTGTGTATGTTTCTATTAGTGTCAGATGCCTGTGTCTTCTTGTGGGCTGCTTCTAATTTACTAATCTATTGGTCATTTCCTTAACTTGGACCTGTTGATTTTTTTCAGCTTAGCTGCCAGACCTCTGGATTCTCCATGTATGACACATTTATGTGTCATCTGACAAATGTCAGGGATGTTTTTTTGTGTAAAGTAATCCTGTACCAGGGGCGGACTGACAACTCATGAGGCCCCCAGGCAATAGGGGATCATGGGCCGCTGTGTCCTTGCCCAAACTCAAAAAAGCCTATGAAAAAGGTACCAGGGGCATCTCATGGGGCCCCCTCCTGACCCCGGGCCTTTGGGTAGTGCCCGAGTTTCCAAATGGTCAGTCTGCCCATCTTGTACACATTTTTAGATGCTTTCTAAGTGGATCAGCTCTCTAAATGGGGATGGGCTTAGTTATCACAGCTTGGTTCTGTCATGTTTCAGAAAAGTAGTGATAGTGATGAAATGTTGGTCCAACAAGAAAGTTGAATAAATCGTTGCTGCCTGAAGATATGTTAGGTCTGGTTGAAAAAGAAATAAGTGACCAAGCCTAGTATATTTGTGGTGCAGGAAAAAGTAAAAGGTAAAATCCTTGCCTGCGGCGTGCAGCTTCTGACAAATATTGTGAAGGATTAGAGTGGTAAATTGCTGATTGGTTTGGTGTAGTGGTAGTGGTATATGAAATGGATGAAACACCTGAGGATGTGTTAAGAAGATCATTAAGACCAGGTTTAGATCATCTCCCAGAATATGGATGCCTTGTTTGAATCCAAAGAGAATATTACATACCCCATGGAAGAAATGGATCTATTTAGGACAATATACTGTATATTGGTAAGGACGATCAGTTTGTTGTCTAGTGTTCTTTGGAGGAAGAGGTAACAGCCTTCCATGTCAACTCATTTTCCAGTAGGTTTAAAGGCTGTTTATTTAGCACTACATGGGTGCTATGGTGTGTTCCCACCTGTTTCAGATCTTGTAGAGTTGTCTTATAGTGACTGCTAGTCTGTTCCACCAATACAAGCCGAACAGCCATGTACCGTAAGTCCTCTTTTAAATCAGAAATGACCACGGATAGGTCAACTTTTATGTCCTATATCATAATCATCAGGTCTGTCATCCTAGACATTGGTTGGATCATAGCTTTAACAGTGGCAATGTCCAGGTAGCTTGTGCCTAGATGTGCTAAATCTGTAGTTATGCAGGAGGAAGCCACTGACAGAGTACTTAGGCCCTGCAAGCCATCTAGTGTTTCCATCACTTAAGAATGGAAAAACTCTGGCAAATTGTACCCCGGTTTCAAATGGTGAGTCTTAGTGGAGGGCAGGGAATGACCGATCCTGCCCATGTTGTATGTTGAGACTTTCATGCTTGTGCAAACCCCCTAAGTGAATTCAGAACTCAACTAACATGTGCCCATCTCCATTGTTCACCAAACCATGCCCCAAAATACTAATTTTATTTTATGTTGATATGTTCTTTTTTAGAGTTGGGGGGTGGTCAGAGCTCAGCAATAATTTGTTTAATCAATGAATAAAACTGTCTTTCTACTGCCATTGCTTTTTCACTTCAATTTCTTAATTCCTGTAGTAAAACACCTGTCCATGGCCTATGTTTCTGGTGTTTTTTATGCCACTCTTGCTCAATAAAACTGTTCTGCTGCTAGCCAGTTTTACACCATTGTATAATATGCAGTTTCTCAATTTTTCAGGAAAAATTGATGGAAACTGGAAAGTGGCGGGACTGTTTTGCATCATTTTGGCCAGATTGGCCAATGGACAAATGTTACTTACAGGATTTTTCCCTATAATCGTAAATAGAATTTACCATTATGTTTGGGTTAATTGAATTTCAAACAGGATTCAGTGAACTCATGGTGAATTGAGCACAGGAAGATTTGCTCATTCGTATTTAACTAGATACCCCTTACTGTGAGAATATTAATTTATGCTCCGTTATAGAACTAGCAGCTCACAGCACTGTTAATGATGCTAGTCACACTAGCAGTTAGTAACCATTCCTATTAGTTTTTGATCAAGTGATCACTACAACAGACAATCATAACAATCAAATGAGATTCATTTAAAGGCAACGCAATTGGTCCAGCATTTATTGTGCCTCACACTATTTGAATGCTACCATCAAAAAACAGTATATGTGCCATTTCATAAATGTTACCTAATACTATATGTAGTATATTGTGTGTAATATACTGTATATACAGGGGCGGACTGACCATTTAGAAACTCGGGAACTGCCCGAGGGCCCGGGGTCAGTAGGGGGCCCCATGAGATGCCCCTGGTACCTTTTTCATAGGCGTTTTTGAGTTTAGGCAAGGACACAGGGGCCCCATGATCCCCTATTGCCCGGGGGCCCCATGAGTTCTCAAGTTCTCAGTCTGCCCCTGTGTGCATGTGTATATATATATATATATATATATATACTATATATATATTATATATATATATATGTATATATATATTCACTCTAGTAATACCCCCTGCCTTCTGCCCCAGATATCTGCCTCATCTCACCACTTAATACCATTCCTCTTGACCTGCTGGCCCCAGTGGCTCCTGAACCTCATGTAATCTATCCATGAGTTAATGTATTCCCTGCCTTATTTTCTCCACTGGTTTCTGCACTTCCTTTCTTCTTTTGTCCACCAGTAACTGCCACACCTTCTGCCCACTGACAAGCATTAAATGTACCAGCTAGCCTGCACATATGCTGACTCCCATTGTTTCCAGTTACTACAAGAAATTTTTCCTAGTCTATTATCTGAACTTTTTTGTTCTCTCATTCCTGCCAACCAGCCAGTATAGATAGCCTAATCCAAAATTTTGAGGCCCTACATAATTGGCATAACCCTTAGCAATCTTTTGCATTTGTGATTGATTATGTAATAATATGTACATATGTAATTTTTTTTTATATGACCTATGGTTATTTTCTACATTATTAGTATATATTGCCTCCTTATTTGTTCCACAGCAGAAATTTGTTTAAGAACATACATAGGCCTGAATGAGGGTTCATAGGTAATTCTATTTTGTACTTTACCATAAAGCATACAAGTATTGCTAGTATTAATATCATTATCCCATACTTTGCGCATAATGATTCACATGTCATCACTATTGTTGCTTTTTAAGAATTCACACTATGTTTTTATGTATGTAATGAAATTATTACCATTTTGAGATAATCATAACACATTATGTTTGCAAAAGTGACATTATACTTTGATTTACAGTGTTTGAAGACTCAGAATAGAGTAAGCTCACAACAGCTTCAAAAACTGTTCTTCATCAAAAATATTTCATAAAATAAGGGATGAAGAAAGATTTATTTGTAACACTTTAGGGAACACAAATTTCATGGATATTTGTCATAAAGTGTAAAAATATAGAAGAAATTAAAAAATGCTTTGTGTGGATAGGCTTATGTTTATCTATTTATTATTATAATATTCAATAAAAAAAAGTTTAATCTTATTACAATGGAGCACAGTTGAAAAGATGGCAACATAAAGATGAGATATGGCACAACAGCAATGAAAAATATTTAAAAGTAAACATGCAGAAAGCAGGTCGCATGCAGATTAGTTGGTGGATAGACATCAGTTAATGGTCACAATCACTTTCCACAATAATAATGGCACATTAAATCTAATGTGTGAAATGCACCATTACATTTTTACTTCATGTAAGATCTCAACAATTGCTTTAGTAAATAGCAATATTACATAGAAAACAGCATGTTCTAGTAACCACCAATTCTTAAAGGTGAACTGCATTGCATCTGAGAACCACAAACCAAAAATGCTAATTAATACATTGTTAATATTCAAAGCAAACAAAGTCATTCACCTATGTCTCCATGCTTTATTTTGCTGAGAAATCATTTTGAAAAACACCCCCTGGCATTTTTGACAGTGGCCATCTTGAGTAAAAGCAGATGATTCATGTATCATTTACTTCCTGGAATCCATCTGCCCTTAGCTCAAACGTAGGCTGAGCTGATAAACCCTCCCCTCCTGAAGACTCATGAAATAATTTGCCTAGGCATGAAAACTAGGAAGTAACAGAAGAAATGTACATAAAAAAACATTTAAAACAAGTAAATATGAAACACTTTCCTATCTATTTACTAATAGTTCGCTCAGCGCTGCTAGCAGAACAATACCAATACAATGCATAGAAGGGGCTCTTATTTACTAATAGTCAGCATAAAGATCGGGCCCTGCTACTTTCAAGCTTACAACCTATCTATTTAAAATAGTCAATGTTGATTGAGAGAGTGAAGTTCTGCTTTAACTAAATACTTGAGCTCTGGAAGGCTTTACCCCTTTCATGAACAGGCCATTTTTTGCTATTTAGCACTGCACTACTTTAACTGGTAATTGTGTGGTCATGCAACGCTGTACCTACACAATATATTTATATAATGTTTTCTCACACAAATAGAGCTTTCTTTTGGTGGTATTTAATCCCCCCCCCCCCATTTTTTAAAATTATTATTATTATATAAAGCAAAAAATTAAGAATAAGACATAGGTTGACGCTATAAAAACCAATAGATTGACAGCTGCTGTGTCCTGAAGAAGCTCATGTGACCAGCTGAGTGAAAGGGGTTGATGTCAGTCCATCATCATGCCCATGATCTGGGGGACACACTGTATACCATCTAGGTGCTCCATGCAAGCAACATTGCCCTTCAATGGAACCTAAACTGACAGAATAGCGGTAGAGATCCAAGGCATCATATGCTGGCTAAGTGGGACTGGCATCCATATGAGCAGTATGGGGGGTGAATCAAGCAGAAGCCACACTGGACATGCTGTGTGAATAAACAGGCTTCCCTCTCCTCTAAAACAGCCTACCACACAGCAGTTATCCAGTAGAGTTTAAGTGCTTGACTACTATTTCTTGCTCCTTTCCGTTGACTCAGCCTCTATCACTTTGTAGTGCTACTGCCCCTAGTTTGTCCTGCTTTGCTTCAGTAACCGCTGCTACTAACTATATGCATTGGACTATTTGTATACCAGCTAGCGTGAAGATCCTTAAACATGTTTTTGCAAAACCCTGACCGGTCTCTATCTCATGTGTATTGATGGACTTTCATTTCACTGGACTGCACCATTATAGGGACTCTTTAACTAGCATACTCTGAAAACACCTATTACCACTTGGATTTGCCTTGCTGGCACCCCACCAGGTTTATGTGTCCTGTTCCATTACTCCTCTAGCTGTGTATAAAAGATGTGTGTGGGATATAGCAGTTGGAGCAATGCACTACAGTTTTCCCCCACTGCGGCCGCCATGTGTCATTGTTATGCAACGACATTCACTGCCTGGAAATTGGCCATCCAATGTTATATTATTAAAGGAGTTGGGTGGTGGACATGTCCCTTCATCAGTGAGAAGTTGTTGGTCTGTCTGCTCACTTTCTACTATGCTTGGCTGTTGTGGGTCACGAGTGGTGAAAGCCACCATGCTGGTGGCGATGATCAGGGGCCCCAGAATAGTTGGAGGGAGCTCCCCAAGGACATTTTGGGGGGGAGAAAGGGGGTGAGGGGCCCCAGGATGGATGGTTGATGGAGGAGAAGAGGGCATCCAGGTAATCAGGGGAGGAGGTGAGGGCACCTGGGTGACTGGGGAGAAGGAGAGGGTACCTGGGTGTTTGGAGGTGGAGGAGAGGGCCCCCAAGTTGGTTGGGTGAGGAGGAGAGAGTCCCTGGGTGGTTGTCAGAGGAGGAGCAAGCCTCAGGTTGGCTAGCAATGGAAGAGCAGGCTTTTGGATGGTTGGAGGAGAAAGGGGTCCCTGGGTAGTCCCGGGTTTGGAGTAGAGGGTCCTGGGGTGCTTGGTGAAGTAGGAGGGTCCTCCAGATGGTTGTTGGAGGAGGCAGGGGCAAATTAGGCAGGGGGGACAATTGTTCCACGGGCCACTCTGATGCCCCATAAAAAATCCTTCAGCACTGCACCCACTCACCCTCCACTTGGTGAAGAGCCAACCCTGACCCTCTACTAATGCCAGAGCCGATTGCCAGGGAAGAGAGTGGAGCAGAACCAGTCCCGCATATCTGACATCAGAGATGGACATGTTAGAGCTGGAGCCCTTTGGAGCCACAATAACAGCACCAAGGTTCCCAGGAACAGCATGGCCAAACTCCTCAGCTCATCAGAGGGTACCGCAGCAGTGGCCTATGGCAGTCTGCTGGAGATGGCTCTGCTCCCCATCTTTGGGGAGGATTCCTCAGTCCCCCACAGTCTATGGCACTACTAGTCCCAGCATAGCGGACTGTCATTCCTCAGCCCCCCACAGCTGGGGGGACAGTGCCCCACAGTGGGCACTACAAGTTCCAGCATAGTGGGCTGTAATTCCTCAGCTCCCTACAGATGGAAGTACAAGTCCCAGCATAGCAGGCTTCCATTATTCAGTAAGGAATGGCAACCCTCTTTACTGGGA